TCAAGAATGCTCAAGTCAGAGGGTCCGTGCGGAATTATGAGCATGAACGACTCAACTCAAGGACTCAAAGATACTTTTCTTCTCAAGACTGCTCAACTTATAGGATTCATGCGGAATTATGGGCATGAACAATTCAACTCAAAGACTTTATGGGTAACATGTAATAGTCCCATGCTTAGAAATATAATCTCAAAGGGGATTAGGAACTCAATACTCAAGACTTAGAACTTGAAGATACTACTCCTCTCAAAGATACTCAACTTCTGGAGTTCATGCGGAATTTATGGGCATGAACGACTTGACTCGTAAGTCTACATAACATTATGAAACTCATGTATGTGACTCTTCTCATTCTCTGACTTACTTCCTCAAAACTTAGTTCAAATCGATAGTTGATCTCAAAGGATTCACAATTGAACTCAAAGGCTTTCTTGAACTCTACTCTTAACTCTCTCTTGAATTTGAATTATGAATTCAAGAGTTATGATTCATGATATGAAGGATCTCAATAACAATATAGATATTCGATAATTAGGAATAGAACTTTTAAAACAAACATGAATTCAAGAACTCAAAATCAACTTATCTCAAGAATACTCAAATCTAGGGAAAGTATCCTATATTACTCTTTTTCTTATTTGAAAGTAGATGTAGGGCGTGAGGATGAACTAGCCCAACACTATGATAGCCTTACATACCTAGAAGAACAAGATTCTTGAAGAATCTTGAAGAATCTTTAAGAATCTTGAAGAATCTTGAAGAAGAACTTGATTAGAAGCCTTGAAACCCTAGCTTGAAGGTAAACAATCATGAAGACCTTTCTTGAGATTCTCGAGTTAGTTTCTTAAAATCTCTATAGCCAAAAATTATGATTTTCATGAGGGAAAATGAAAATCTGATTGTTTTGAGCTTTTTAATTAGTCAAGAAACTCGTTGATGGCTTTCTTGGAGGTAAAAAGACAAAAACCGATTATTTTCAATATTTTCCCGTTGGCTAATTCGTAACAGCACTGTATAGGTTACTAAAATAGTCATAACTTTTTACTCAGATATTGGATTGACGTGAAATTGGTGGGGTTGGAAAGTAGATTCAATTACCTTTAATTGGATAGGTTATGGCTCACGTAACTCTTAATATTCTAAGAGATATGGTCGTTTAAAGTTGACCTAAGCAGAATCTTACTTCAAAACTTAATAAACTTCAAGAGCACTTATCAAGAACTCATCAAGAACTTAAATCCATAAATTTCAAGAACGAAATTACGCTGAATAAATCATGATTGGCGTGTGGGTGAAAGAACCCAACACTATGGAAGCTTACATACCCTTAGGGATTAAACCCATGGCGAAAATCTGCAACAAGATGCAAGAATCTCGACGAACGCTTTCATCCTTTCTCTTTTCTCCTCTTTTCTCTTCTTCTTGAACTCTCAACTAAAACCCTAGGTGTATTTTAGAATTATAAAACTGAACCTAATCAGATTAGACCCCTAAAATATTACTAAAAACGAATTAAATCTGTTTTGGTAAGGAAAAGACCAAAATACCCCTTTCTATTTTCGGCTAACCTTCCTTAACTGGTCAGCCTATCTTCAAAAGGACATATCTCACTCATCCGACCTCAAAACTTAGCAAACTCAGCGGCGTTGGAAAGATAATTCAAAGATCTTCGCTACGGTATCTTGTAGTACACCTAACTCATCCTGAGCTAGGATTTATGGTTGTTTGAAGTCGACCCAAAACTCATACTTAAGCATAACTTGCAAAATTTCAGATTTTGCTATTTCCAATTTAGTTCTTTTTCGAACTCAAGGTGCTACATCTAGTGAACTTAACACTTAAGAAATTTTAATTCCTCGGTAAAATCCTACTCACAACGAAGGATGGTTCAAGTCTTAATTCAAAAAAAATTCTGGGGTGTTACAACCACTAGGTCAAGGGTTCAAGGCTGGTAAACAGAAAAAAATAAACAAGTTAAAAAAATAAAAATAAAAAACAGACTCTTTATTAAGCTAGCGTTTGGCCATAAATTTCCAAATATTCTTGGCAAATATTATTTAGGTGAAATTTCACCTTGTGTTTGGCCATAGTATTTGGGAAACATATTTCACTTTTTTTAAAAATGATTTATACCCATAAGTTTTAAAAACCATCAAAACTAACCATAAGTTTGTATTATAAGTCAATTGGATCTTCGTTGCAACAACTAACAAGTAGTGTCCGTGACACTGGAGCAATGTGATAGTTCAGAATGAGTGCAACAAGCATCATTCCATACATTGTGAAGCAGACAAAACACATGACTTTATTACTTGAGCCGATTGTTCATCATTTTTAATCAACAACCATATAATCACTTTCATATATATTCATTGAATATTTCATCACTACTTTGGTGTTCACGTAAAAAATTATGTAATACAACGCAAATAACTACTATAGAGGGTGTTTTTGTAAAAGATAAAAGTTTGATGTAAAATTTCAATTTTTAAAAAATCTCAAATAATGAGATTTGGCCCAAATACAAGAAAAAACTAGTATTTGGGAATTTGAGATATTTGCCAAATAATAATAAATTATATGAACAAACACTATTTATCAATTTTTCTCCAAATATTACTTGAGAAATCTATGAACAAACGAGTCCTTATTTGCTATAGAATCAAACAAGGAACTTTCCTCGAATAAAGAAACAAAACTATAAAGGATGTAAATAAGGAGTTTGGAAATTCATATGATGGTCACACAGACACTAACTTTTTGACTTGGTTGACTGATAAAACTTTTTCTTTATTGTAATTTCATTCCTTTTTCCTTTTACTTTTTTGACGATAAGTTTCTACTAGTATAACATTATTTTCATGATAGAACTAATTTATTAATTTAGTCTTAGTGTCTCATAAAGGGTGTTATTGTTGCAAAATGCAATCACAGTCTATTGAAATTCAAGACTTCAATTTTTACTAAGTCAAAGAACTTTATATAATAGGAAAAAAAAATTATAGTCTTTTATATGTCCACACATAGAAAGAATGTCGATTAATCAGGGTCTAAAGCAAAATCAAAATACCATGTTAAAAAGGAAGAATTCATGAAATGCCCGAGTAAGTTTCCATAAACACAAGGCTACAAATAAAGTAGTCTACATAACAAGTTCTAGCTAGCTACTAGTAAAATGAGGGATCGAAAGTATAAAGTCTATTTTGATAGAGTAAGTCAATTTGAGCTTGTACTTTAGCCAATTGGCATTGTACATGATAAGTTTCTTCATGTAAAACAGTAATAATTCCAACACAACCATATACAGGATCCTTAATTCTATAATATGCCTCATAATACAATGAGTCTGCTACATCTCCTCGTTGATGCTCTTCTACTTGCTACAATTTTATACAAAAATAAAATTAAAGAAATTAATTAAACAAAGAATTTAATTTCTATAATAAATTATAATATAAGTCAAACTTGTAAGTAGGAAAGATGAATAAATAAGTTAAAACATTACTTCTTTCTATAGTTCTTGCTTCTTTTGTTACTTGTCATAAAATGATTGTTGGAATTAATATATAGTTAAATAAATATTCGGAGTAATATAATAACTTATACCTGGAGCATTTTTCCAACATTGCTAGCACCATAGATTCTATGAACATAAGAAAATCTTTGAGGATTATTTGGAGGAAAATATGGTAAAAATATACAATCTGAAGGACATTTTCTTCTTAATTGTTTGCAAGCTGCACAACGTGTGGAACTCATTATTATTATTATTATTGTAGAAAGATTTTGTGAATCTTTTCTTTGTGAAGAAGAAGATTTAAGCAAAGATCTTTAATTGCATAATAATCGAATAAAGATTAAAGAGGAGTGTATTTAAATGAAATGAAATTAAAATTATTAACGGCTATTTCTTTTTAAAAATATGTTTTTTAAGGAAAGTTACCAGTACTACAAATCAGCCATTTAGTGATTATTGAGCTAAATTTGGTAGTAATGGAATTTATATTTTTTTCTAATTATGATTCTCCACTTCTCCCCTTTTCTTGTAAAGAGTTTATTTTGACAGTGTATCCTAAATATAATATTAAAAGCTTAGTTTTTACTTCTACAATATTTTACATTAATAATATTAATGACAATTATCTTTTTACTTATATATATGCTCTTCGTTAACTTTAACCTGTCACATATTTTAAGTCAAACGATATAAACTTTGATTAACGCTTTAAAATATATTTTCTTAATCATATTAATATTAGTATGAAAACAATTGCAACTTATAATATTTTCAACATCTAAAGTTAATCTATTGAATTAACCTAATTCTATTTAGCTTCAAAAATTAATCAATTCCCTTAAAGGGTAACATGACAAATGTAAATAAACGGAAGGAGTAACATTTTCAGGATATAAATTATTTATTTTTATGGGAGTATATATAAATGGAGAAAAAGGAGAAAGGAAATTTCTTCAGCTACGTTTGGTCATTTTTCAATCATTCAAATTGGATCTAACACACACACGCACAGTGTTGGGCTCCAATTTCGAGAAGAGTTGGACCATATTTCTTGTTTATTGATGCTGCTTTTAGGTCAAGATTCCACTGTTAAGTTAGGTTTCAAATTCAATTAAGCTGTTTAATGTAGTGAATATATGTATTAATTAATTATGGTTCGGTGATAGAATTATATGTATAAACACATACCTTATATTCATTTGTGTGGTATATATAAACATTGGGTCTGAGAAGTTTTAACAACCATATCCATATAAAGTTGATTAAATTGTTTAATATTAATCGTTGAAACTTATGTAAGAAATTTTTTCATATAGTGGCGATGAGGATTCAAAATAAACTTTATGTCATAGGCTTTATTAATAATTACATTATTTAAGTATTTTTTTGAATCTCCTTATTTGAAATTCTATTTCATAGTCATTGCGGTTAAAAAAGGAATGGAAATAAGTAGTAACATATGCATAGAAAAGTAGTACATTTTCTAGAAATAGAAATAACGTTAAAACATATGCATGTATAATGATTAATACATTAAATTTCTACATTAGTGGTTGAACATCCCCAATTCTAACAATCCACCTTTTTTTTTTCCACATGATAACTATTATTAGTCCAACTTAATTAGGTCCATAATCAAGTCGATCTCCAATCTTGACCATATATTAAAACCTCAATTTAGTTTGGTTTAATTAATTTACATTATTATTTTGACATTAATGAACCAACCACCCCAGCAATAAGAGTTGTAGGGTCTCCAAGAACTGCAGATATAATAAACTGCAAAGCTAAACCAGCCATTTCACAACATTTTTGGGCTTTGCCTTTACTTTTTTTATGATGAGTTTGAAGTGTACCTTTTAGACTTGGGATCCTATTTTCCAATTTTCTATAATTAGTATTATTATAAGTATTATTGTTATAATTATGATCTCCATGACCAAAATAGAGCTCATGCCAACTATCCACAAGCATCTCTTTGACACATGCCACGTGTAAATTGTATTTCTTGCATGTAGATCTGTAACTCCAGCTTCTGTTTCTCCCTTTCCTTCCACACCTATGGCATGTTGCACTTACCTGTTAAAGTCGAATTCAAGATTTAAATTAGTGAATTTAGAATAAGTATATCATAATCCGAATCGAAAATTATGAGTTTGGTAAGTTTATTAGAAAGACCATGTGGATGATAAAGAATGGTAGGGCAAGTCTTTGAAAATTGAAATTGTCCTTCATAGAAAATGTTTTACTCAAAAATAAAAAATTTTGATATGAATTCAAATTAATTAAGCATATGAGACAGATGAAATTGAACATAGTTTTGAAAAAAATAAAATAACCCAATTATTTCTCAAGAAGCAGAGAAAATGAGTTTTCTTTTTTAATTATAAAAGTTATTAAATTAATAATTTATGTCATTTTAAACTTACTAAATTTTGAACTGATTACTTAGAAAATAAATCTGGACAGTAAATCTATTATTATAATTATATATCTCTAACAGAAAAATTAAAGCAGGGCTAAAATGCAAAATTAAATTTTTATTAGGAAACAGAGAATCCTATTTCTCCCCCAAATATAAACACAAAACAAATTAAAGTGTCATCTTGTCATTTTTTATACGAGTATATGTGCACAAAATAACGTGGATTGATCACTTTTGCTATGTCCTTGAAAAATAGTCATTGTCCTTAAATTTCAATTTCTATACAATTGAACCTCGGGGCTTCTTACTTCCCAAATGGATCCTCCTTCATCTATATATAAACGCTGATTTATCAAGAATACGCAAGAAAGGCACTTCGAATTGTTGATAGTAATTGAAACTTGAGGACAATGATTATTTATTTTCAATTACTTGACAGAAAAGTGGCTATTTTCTAAATTAACAAATATATCATAAAAAAGATTATGTTAATATGTCCATCACCAACAATATTTACGTACCTTTCTAAATAAGTAAAGCTTAACATCTCCATCATCAAGCACCATAGGAAGCTTAGCACAACATGGATGAAGATCAAATCCACAAGACCTACAATGGTACATAAATCCAGTTATGTCCTTCTCACAAGCGTTGCAGTAGCGCGGTACGTTACCCGGGGGACGAGAGAGGAATTGGAAAGAACATTTTGTGTAAAATGGATGTGTAATTGAAGGTGAAGGAATTGCACAATGCATATGTAAATCATAGTCACAAATTGTGCATTTGTAACGTGACCCTATGCCTACTTCTTTACAACCATCACATTTAAATGGAAATTCTGAGTATTCATATCTTAGCTTGTGTTGAGGGTGGCTAAAATGAGCTATCTCGTTGTACTTCATGTTAGAAAGTTTTTGGGTGGCTAGCTAGCAAAAGAAAAGAATTCTAAGTGGTCATTATATAAAGATGATTCTTGGACTCTACTATTAAATTTTGATCAGATTAAGTTTAAGTTATATATATCGTTATTATCTGTGTAAGGTATTTTTATTTTATCAGGTCATTTTTACTTGTATCTAGTAATCTAATTTATTTTTAAGATTACAAATATAGTGCTCTAAGAAAGTTTATTTGTAGATATCTTTTGAATGACTTGATGTTTTATGCGGACAATGTATGATGTTACTTGAACCCTTTAACTTTATGTATTGGAGCTAAGAGTGGCTTGTACTTGAAGCAAATAGAAAGATGGAATTATGCTTATTGGTGGATAATGCCAGTTGCAAAATTATGAGTCTAGTAGAAGAATCTTTTTAAACATCAACAAGAAGTGAAGAAGAGAGACATAAGGCATATATTAGTTCCATACCCCACCCAAAGAAAAGATTAAAAAAAAAGAAAAGGATTTTTTGCTTTAAATGATTAGTCAGCTAATATTTTGATATTGCTAAAAATCAAGACATATGTGTGTTTGTGTATATTGTAATCAACTTATCCCTTTAAACCCCCAAAATTAAGGAAAATAAAATACCTTAGTTACAAGCAAGGTTTTCGATATTGGGGCCACTAGAAAGTTCAAAAAATCTTATAAATGTCAATTTATTATCAAGAGAATGTGATTAACATGTCTTGGATCCTCTAAGACAAATGAGGAAACAATTAAGTACAATTTTCTTAATTATATCTTGAATTTCGAAAAAAATTAATCGGATAATTTTTCGTATCAAAATTTTAAATTAGCACTTGAATATTCAAAATATACGTGATATATATATATATATATCGATAATTTCAAATATTTGTTGTCTTATGAGATTAAAGAACCTTTATAATTGAATATAAAATTCAAAGAAAAAAAATACTTCTATATCTTATGAGGACTATAGATTTACTCAAACAATTACAAGATAATTAATTTCTTAGGAGAATCATGAGATGTAATGAAAATTTAAGGAATATCTAGTCTAGAAGAATAAGAATTGGCACCTTTGAAAGTGGATATGGCTAAGAAACGTTATGCTAAATTCTTGAATTTAGAAACATTGGGAAGAAATTCATATAGTTGAAATAATATAGCCGCTGGTGAAATTAAAAATCTTTACAATATGTTCAATTTTCCATAGTATACAATAAAGTCTGACGTGAAATAATTCATAAGTAGTTTAATTAGCTAAAACAAAAAAATAGACGTGGATCCAATTATACACTTGTGAATTCGATAGAACTCAAAATTTCAAAATTGAACCCTAATACTTATACGGAAAAATATTGTAGAATGAGTTGGATATGTTCAAATTCTGAATCTGTCATTAATAATCCGAAAGTTTATCTTCCAAATATTTCACCTCACACATAGATTTTTTTTACTTCAACTAGAAAAGGATATGACACAGCACAAATATATGGGATATAATAGAGGAGGAATAACATCTGGTTCTATTTAATTGATGACACGAAGGAACAAATTCCTAGCTTGTTATTATTCTTCTTAATCCAACTATTAATATATATTTTTATTAATAATGTTATCCTTTTTTCCAATTGACTAAGTAAATATATAGAATTGGAACAGTAAAAAGAGAAAATGATTCTTGGTATTGCTTACCTTTGAAAATGCGTTCAAAGTTGTTAAGCTTACACGGAATATTAACTTCAACACTTTGTTTTTCTTCTTCAAGATGCTAAATTATAGTACCATAAAGCATTATCATTTCTTTAAGCAACTTTAATTTTCTTCCAACTTAATTTTGATATATCATCTTTTTGTATTCCCTTTCAAAAGAAAAAACAAACAAACAAAATAAATAAACCAAAAAGATGATGAATGAATCCATTCGTTGTCCATCCTTAATCAAAGATTTCGCGTTTGAATTTTAGTAAAGGCAAAATTCCTAGTATAGACCGCTTTTTTCTTTAGTAACCCTGCTTGATGTTAAAGGCAAAGTTAGAATTTTAAGTTTATGAATTATAAATTCTAGAAAATCAGTTGACTAGGTCTAGGCCAAAGTTATTAGATTCAACTAAACTGTGATAAGTTTATAGCACCGCACCCTGCAGTGTTAAATCTGAATTAGTCATAAATTTTGAATATTGGATGGCTATACCAAAGAAAAAAGAAAAATATGAAATACAGAATCATGTCCAGCTTGATCGCTTGTCTTATTTACCCTTTTCTTAGCGGGTGGTTTATGTCTGGTCCTTTCGGGTCACCTGACCTGTATTCTGAAATAGTTCGCCAATTCAATGCTTTATTTGTCGAGTCAATCTTCCTGAAGAAGACTTGAAAAGGTTTCCCGAGCATGGTTGAGATCAATGTGAAAATAAGAATGCTGAATCCACATTCTTTGGAAACGAAAGACCCCAAGCCTGCAAGTATTATAATCTTCTAAGAAGATTACTAGAGGAGAGTGATCAGAGGATACTCTAGGCAAATGATCAACTCTGGTGGAAGCAAAACGGCTTTTATATAGAAGCGGGCAGTCCCCATTCAAATGTCCTAATTATGGTCAAGACTACTAGATTAAGGCATCGGTTTACTTGTGTCTGTCTCATAATGTTAAGATAGTTATTTCACTTTATTCAATTTTGTTTTCTTTTGCTCACTTTTTTTTTTTAACCTTTGTTTCTCTTTGCTCTTTTTAGTACAAAGAGACCTATGGAATATTTGAGTGTAAGTGATATTGAGTATTGTACTTGCCAGAATATAAAAGCCAAATTGCATCTAATTCCATTCTTCTTTTTTCTTGATGAAGCACCTGAGAGTGCTGTTTCTTTATTTATTTTTTTTGGATCTTTTACGCAAATAATAGGTCGGATTCATAATTTACTTTTTCTAATATATATATATATATATATTAACAGAAAATTATACTGTAATTATACACACATTACACATAGATTATATATACATATATTGTTGCGAGCTATTTTTGTTTTTAAGTAGTTGGATGAACCGCTATTTAGGTTAGTTCTTGCAAGTTTTCATGGAAGGTTGGAAAGTTATCCAATACATTGGGCCTGCCCTTCTTTGTAGGAAGCCTTGCAAATAGCCCAAATTTTGGTAAAACATCTTTAAAAGAAAGTGAGAGAGAGCCCAATTGTATTTATTCATTGAAGCAACCCAATAATAGTGTAAGAAAAATGTATGTCAAATGTACCAATATTCTTTTTCATCTTGTGGTCGTAGATAATGTCATTCAGAAAGTTGGAAATTTAAAGAGAAAAAATGAATACATTCTTCTTCAAATGGACTAAAAATGGAAATAGACCAGTTTCTTTTCATGAATGTAATTTAACAACATATCTCTATTTGTGACTCATCACACTTGAGTTGGAATTTAACGAGGGGTTTACCTCCATCCATTGAGTCAAGTAATTCGCTATTGGAAATTTCCCCCCACCTATCTCATTTCATGCTATTCTTTCCCCTTCTCCTTACCGGATCCTAGTTTCAGTCAATCAAGACTTTGGCAGGAAAACAAATAGTTCCTCCAATATTTACATACAACTACTAAAACCATAGTTGAAAATTGATGATCATCTTGTGAGAGAAGAAAGAAACCAAAGATTGGAAAGAGATGAAGCCATGGATAGGAACCATGACAAGAAAGCTAATCCAGCAGATATCTGATATCTACTGCATAATCCAGCAGCACAAAATGTTTCATCTGCCCTCTGCAAAACATCAACAATACCAGCTATTGAACTTGCTGCTGCTAATGTCAGGAATGATAATGCCTGTAAAACATGTTCTGTTTCATCAGCCCTCTGCAAAACATGTTCTGTTTTCTTTTTTAGAGAAAGAAAGAAGACATACCCAATCTCCAAAAACAATGAAGAGAAGAATTCCGGGGTGACGAATGGGGCAACGAATCAAAACAGAGTATATGTCAGTCAGTGCCAGTGTAATGCTCCACGGGATGACCAAACCCATGATTGTTACTAAGAAGCTGTGCAACAAAATATATCAACAAGTGATTTTTTGTGTATGCATATGTATAATTCGAGTTGAATAAGCAACGGGAACTTCCTAAATATTTGGAGATTATTATGTTTAAAAAGAAAAATAAAACAAAGAGTAATGGTTATGGGAGTACTAAGAAATTACCAGAAGGCAGTATAGTTGTGGAACTCAACTCCTAAAGACATGAACAAAAGAGAAGCAGCAGAGAAGATGGTCTGCCCAAATCTCAAAGCAAAACTAGCACTTGTCCCAACAGCTCCTGGTACTTCATCATCCATGACCATGTGCTATTACTAGAAAAAACAATATGATCTACAACCCTCTTAACTGATCACAACTAAGACAATAGCAACTACTTTTTCTTTTTCCCAAGTTCATCGTGTGATACCAAATCTTTGTATTCATGACACGGCAGATAACACAATCCTATTTCAACCAACGTGTTTGAAGTAGAGAAGTTCAAAATGCTTTTATTTGCATATTACCTCTCCTTTTACTTTTTTAGCTTTGGGAGACGGCTATAAATTATTTGGAGTTTGTTTTTTAAGTTTCGAGTATCCAACATGAACTGGACACAAAATGGGTGGACAAACTAAAGTGCGAATCAAATTAGTGCTAACAATTGTCCCATTCACAAAGTAGGTGGCAAAGCAAATGACCAAAATACACAAAGACCAACTAAAAAGACACTTGCCAAGTAGGAGTAGGATCTGCGCAGGAGAGTCTCCAATTTGACCAGAGTTGTTCATAGTTACCTTGTGAGTAATATTTGTTTCTAACTGTGCTATTATCCTGCCGATTCAAAGTATTAGTACCGTGCCCAGATGAAATCACGTATTTAAAGATCTGCATCAACCTTTCAAGCATGACAACTCTACAAGAACATTTGTATGTGCGGCAATTTCTGGTTCCTCTTCTGACAATTACTGTTACCTGAAAATTTTGTACATACTACCAGCCATTTAAACATCTTTGCTGCAGATTTCTGGATGGGTTAATAGAGATCTTTGCACCAGGCACTTGGTCCGCCTTTCACAAATCCAACAATGTACACATAAGGAAGATGAAATTGCCAATTCTTTTTTATCACATTTACTTCTTCTACACAAGAAGAAACTTGTGTGTCCTGGGTTTCTCCCATGAAAGAGAGCATAGCACATTCAAGCATTTTAGCGAGGTTGCATTTGAACAATTAAGCAACACGCCTACATAAACAAAACAAGTTGATAAAATGTATCACTTGAACTGTAAGTTTTATCTCAAACAACTAGGATCATAACCAAGTTACATGTCAACAAATTTCAAAATAGGGACATATATGGTAATGAAAGGACAAGAAATAAATGTTTGCTCCGTTCCTTCTGATCCTCCATTCCTCGAGAGAAGCTGCACAAGGAAAACACAAAAGCATAAATCAACGAGTTTATACGATAACACTAGCTTTATGCACATAAGTGCCAAGTAATACAATATGTAGTTTGATAAATTGATTAAGAACCCACAGAGTGTGAAGGGCTCCAGCGAATATTGCACAACATAATTGTTAGGGGAAAAAACGAAGACCGAAAATTTTGAGGCATATTCTTTTGAGGGATACAGACAAGTTCCTTCAGGAATCCTCACAGCCAAAATGTTACTGCAAAATCTTCAATCACTTTCACAGTAATGTAATTTATAGAAGAAGACCATTCTGAAAAGGTTTCTTTTATCTAAATGATGTTTCAGCTATAACTTAAATATAAATTCAAAATTTAAGTTTCAAATAAATTAAACCTGTAACAGAAATATAAACACGAAAATAAAGTCTTTTACTTGAAGGTTCGGCCCGGCCCGTGCCCAAGTCATTAGATATATAATATTTATTTACAAATACAAGGACATTTCGTGGACTCACACATTCAAGTAAACATAAAGGGCCAAAGTACTTGAACCTTCTCACTCCTCCTTTTGCCATCGATGTGGGAAAGATTCTATATGTACAAACTATTCCAACAATCCCCGACTAGTTTGTAATGTTTCCCATAATATGGGTATCTTAAATAGATTTGATTTTTCTATTAGTGTAAATACTTTAAAGTTTGATGACGTTGATGATTAACCACAATTCATTATGTCAAATTGAAAGTATCACACATATGACGTTATAATAGCGACTAAAACAAACCATAACTTACTTTAGCACTAAGACGGCCACGTGCTACTAATTCTAACTTCATGGATATTTACAAGACCAACTCTCTAGATCTTGTTTAAGGTGACACACCACTTCAATACTTTTTTTATACCATGGTGTTCGAGTCAACTTGCGTGCACCTCTACTAATTCCATAGGGTATCGACTACCTCCCACTAGTAACAGACATCACACTTGAATACTCATATAGGTGAAACTAGACATTGTCCGTGTTACTTTACACTTGCTAATTTCATTAAAAATTAAATCAACCTATCCTCGTAACAGATTGCATTATAGAGTTTGTCATTGTACCCTTGTTATGATAGGCATTTAACAACTCTTTAACTCCTAACATAGCAATATGTGATACTCGGGAATCAGGATCTCTAAGGAAGATCAAATCAATGTTTTAACAATGCATAGTAACTTGTTAGTACCCATTGAACTTGTATTGCTATAGTGTATACTTACTCAAAGTTGAGTTCCCATTACTTGTGCTTTTAGTCTCATACCTTCACGATGTATTTGTACTCTAGTTATTGCTTTTGTAAGTGGATAGGCCATATACACTAAATCTCACATACAATATAAAATTAATTCCATTACTTATTAATTCTCTTATATAAATCATGTCTTACGTTTATGTGTCTTGATTTCCCATTATAAATCTTATTGTGAGCTACACACATCGTAGTCTCACTTTGGCAAAATATGGAAATGGCTGACATAAGTTGTGGCCACAACTTATGTCTAATAGGTAATAACATGTTCCTCAACCATTCCCCTTCTTTTGCCGCAACTACTAATGAAATAAATTCATATTTCATTGTAGAATGGAAAATACAAGTTTGTTTCTTGGATGCTCAACTAATGGCACCACCCCCTAGAGTGGATTTGTTTTAATTAACACTATTAAACCAACTTGCTCATACATAGCCTTCCAACACAGTTGGAAAACCATGGCATACATCTTTTTTTTATGACAAGGCCAACCCACAGCTACTATTCTTTGGGTGCGCACAGGATAAAACTCCCGCTCCTATGCAATAGCTCACAAACCACATAGGAGAGGTAACCCGCATTAGGCAAGCCTGGTACGACAAGCTCGACCCAGAAGGCAAACCCTTTGCTTTCGCTAGCAAGGGGTTTCGAACTTGAGACCTCTAACATGGAAGTCCCAAGTCCAAGTCCAAACCACTGGGCCACCCCGAAGGGTAGGCATACATCATATTACCTATGACACTTGTATATTCTAGTTATGCCACATTTATGCTAGTATATTCAATCAACTTAACACTAAAGTCACAAGGATTATTAAAGTTCTTTATATCCAAATGACTAAATGTGTCAAGGAGTTTGTCTAGCTTAGTAATAAAATATCTTTTACCACCTCGAGTTAATTCTCCTTATAATTCACATTTATCATTATGTATTAAATCTAGTACTTCGCAACTCTTTCAACTTTTCAAAAAGGTTTCTTAGTCATTTTCATGTGTATGCATATTTTACATTATTCTACATGTTTACTATTGCAAGCAATATAATCATTATTCTACATGTTTACTACTGCATGCCCATGGATCCCCAATCCAATATGTTGGGAAGTAGGGACTATTGAAGTGAATGCTATTAGGAAAGCTCTTAAATGCGCTATCAATAAAGGTTGGAAGAGAGTGATGTGCCTCTAAATGAGTATGCTTCTGAAACGAGTGGTTACTTCATGGTAGATAGATGTGATATGAGAAGACATTTGAAAGCATTCATGCATGTTGAATCGTGTCGAGTTTCTTCATATCCCTAGATGTTTGAACACATTAGCTGATAGTTTAGCTAGATTCTCTATCGCTTTGTTGAAGGAAATCTCTTCTGAGAATGTTTTCCCAAGTTGGATCATACAGAAAGCTATGAATATGTTTGAACTACGTAGTTCATTGATGCAACATCATGTCAAATCTCTTTATATCCCTAGATGTTTGAACACAATAGCTGATAGTTTGGCTAGATTCTATCTCTTTGTTGAAGGAAATCTCTTGTATGAATGTTTTCCCAAGTTGGATCATACAGGAAGTTATGAACATGTTTGAACTATGTAGTTCGTTGATGCAAAAAAAAAAAAATCTATCCTGAAATGGAATTTATTTCAACAGTCCTGTTTCCTGAAACATCTACAATGACATGGTTGTCCATCAAAACTTTCTCGGGCTTCTTGACCTTTGCATAGGTTAAGAACTAATTATCATAACAGATGTGAACGGTTGCACCAGAATCTAGCCACCACTATTGACTAGCAAACATTAAATTCTTCATCATTTCAAGAACACAATGCAAATTTAGCAACGTCAACTTCTGTGACAAGGTGATATTTATTTCAACAGTCCCTCTCTTTTCCTCTCATTTCCGAAACATCTACATTGACATAGTTGCCCATCAAAACCTTCAGGCTCCTTCACTTCTGCACAGGTCTTGAACTGATTCTTATCATAACATACATGTTGCACTGGAATCCAGCCACCAGTATTACCTAGCACAGACATTAAATTCTTCTTCATCTAAGGAACATGGTACACGTTAAGCAATGTCAACTTCTGTCTCGAGGTGAAATTTATTTCAACAATCCCCTTTCTTTTCCTTTCCTGAAATATCAGCATTCACATGGTGTCCCTTATTTGGTTAATTAGAGGTTTGGACAACATCTGGAGATGGATTATGTCCCTTAGTTAATCTGCTTGTCAAAGTTATCACGCAACATAAAGTCGGAAAGTCAAGTAAACTTGTTTTCTTTTGTATCTTGAACTTGAAGTACATTTGCTGAAGTTAACCCTTTTCCACATTTGAGTTTTCAGAAAAGTCATCATTGAAGAATTAGGATTATTGCCTTCTTTGATCTTTCCTTGACTCTAATTCGGAAAGCAACTGAAATTCACTGTTGCCAAACTGGAAAGCTTGAAGTCCCGATTAACCAGAAAAAGAACTCTACTTAAGAGTCCAAAAGTCAAACAAGATCAAGCTCGTATAGCTCAACTCAGCCCCATAACATGATCACTAATAAAAATGAGCTGAGCCAAATACAAATGCTTAAGGTATTAATACATTAATCAATTACACCTCTATTCCAAAGGATTCCTCAAAGTTTCACCATTTTTGTACTACCGTAACCCTTTTCTTATATCTAATCAAGAACTATATATACAGACACTTTAATAATAATCACAATGATACAATGCACTTGATCATGTATCGGGAGACAAATGCATAAGAAAGCACTCAACTATGAAGTCGAAAATTGGATAATCAAGAAAAGTTTACCTGGGAAGAAAGAAGAGCAAAACGAAACTTTAATCTAGAATTCCAGGTTGAGTTCTTCTTTCTGATCGGAGAAATAGTGGAGGATGTATGGGGCGACTCGAATCACGGCGACCCAAGTACCGAACAGGACAACGTGGGTCTTCAACTGCTTCAAAGCAGCTGCCTTGTCAGGTTTACGCATGAACATTCCTGGAAACATTTTTGCTTCTTCGCTAAATCCAAACTCTTGAGATTTGAGATTGAACAATCTAAAACCCTAGCTTCCTACTGAATCGGAGTATCGGTGAGGGTTTTAGGCTTTTTGTGCCGAAAATGGGACTTGGGTCGTGTTTAATGGTAATCGTTCCTGGGCCTCAGGCCCATCAGCCTTTAGGGGAGACTTGGACCGACCGGGTCTTGTTTTGTTTTTGGGTTCTTTTTTGTTATTAGGTGAACTTTATTTTTAAATGATTTTTTGAAATTAGAACTGCTGGAAATGATTAGAGCCCTAGCTGGTAATTACATTTTTTGACTTATCAAACTATGTATCGTAAAATAATCAATTATATCTATACTTCAAGCTGAATATAGTAGCGAATAAAAAAAAATGAGATGACTCTTGAATTATTTAGATAAATTCTCATATTTTTCGATTGATTGATCGAATCAAATAAGAAAATTTGAATAAGTTATACATATAGGTGGCAACATGTGCGTAAAAAGACAAATGATCCAAGTTTAGGTGGGTTGATGATCCCACAATTACTACTTCAATTATTTTTATTGGTTAAAATTTTAAAAATATTAGTTATGTTTACTACTAAATAAGTTACAAGAAAATAATCATCTAGCCATTTTGATCCGGCTCATTTTAATTAGCCAAATCAATGATCTTTTCATTTATTAAGTTGGTGAATTTTAATTGTCCAAACTCCAAGTCTAGTTCATTCTGCTTTATAGCCGATGGTACACTCGTAGTTGACAAGTTGGTGATATTAGCGTTATTTTGCACTTTTCCAGTCAAAAATATTCTCAAAATCCACATGCACTTGTCGATTGTACGTATGGATCAAATTGTTGTCATTTCTTCTCTTTTTCTATTTTCTAAAAAATAAAATTAAACAAAATAGAGAATCCACAACAAATCATTGTGGACTCCAGTTTCCATGAGTCAATTGTATGTCTAAATGGATTGCTTTTAAGGGAATTCCATCTTAAAAGGTTTGTAATTTTTGGATATATATATATATTTTTTAAAATCTAAGTTAAGATAATAAAACTAAATAAAAAATCACAAACTTATGGTCTGAACTTCCATTCACATCATTCATATTTTTTATTCCACACTTTTTTTTTCTTTGTTGTCTGATGTTCACATTGAAACCTGATTGAATTTGAATTTGTGCTCTAACAAAGACGACTTCATGCCAATAGGACTCGAACCCAAAACTTCTTATTAAGGATGAAAGAATACTTATCATTTCATCACCACCCTTATTCTCACATTTCTTTGTTCCACGTCATATGTAAATTGTACATCTCTAAGTTTATATTGTTGATCTCAATATATTTCATACTTTACTTTATTGTAATAGTTTCGTATGATTTTGTAAATTTGATTTGGCGTTTTCACCAAACATATTCTGAAACTTCAATTTGATTAAAATCTTTAGAATCTTTATTGTGTTATCGTATCTTATATGGCCCGACTTAAAATGACGAGAAAGATTATCACTCTTTGACCACAAAAAGAAGAAGATTTATCATGCCCCATAAATAAACAGCTAAGCATACTTCAGTCTTCGAGTCTTCTCTCTGTTTGTGATGTGCTCTCACTTCAAAAAGAAAAAAAAAACTCTTTTTCTTGTGAACTAATCTCAAATTTATTATTAGCACAAAATCCCTCGACTGTCGACACATCCAATTACATGTCGCCACATCAGCAAAACTGTAGGACCACCCTACACATAAAATTCAGTAATGGTGATGAGTCGTTCCTCCACAAACTTATTGCTAGTTCGTAGTAATAGTGACGCAACGCACCACAAAAAATATCACCCTCCCTCTCTTCGCTAGTCAAAATCCCCACACAAAAAAAAACGCACTAAACATTTACACCAACACATTCCCCCCATTAACCAAACCCCCCTCATAAAAGGAGTAGGAAATAAAAGCACCAATTCCACCTTTCGTTAATTGCCCCCTGCATCTCATCATCATGATCCACCACCACCATCATATAGCTCCTGCTCCTTCACCGATGCCGCCACACCTAAATAATTCTCAGAAAGCTCCTTCACCTTCATTGAATCATTCGTCGACATTTCAACCTGCAACCACCTCATCAACGTCCACGTCAGCATCAGATTTATCAACTACTCCACCGCCGGCTAAGTTACCGGTTGATTTCAGCCCTCCTTTGATTGCGATGGTTGTTATTATTGCTACCGCTTTCGTCATCATTACTTACTCGCGGCTACTCTCTCGCCATCTGCTCCGTTTACACGGCCGTTATAGACTGTGGCGCCGCCGTCGCCGACGTTACGTTCCGTCGTCATCTGCCGGTGATATTGAGTCGCCTCCTTATCCGTTTGATCCTACTGATGCTTTCCATGTCTTATCTCCTTATGGATTGGATGATTCAGTGATCAAAACGATTCCTCTTTCTGTCTACACTCGAAAAGGCGGTGTTCATGATTGTGCGGTTTGTTTACTGGAGTTCGAAGAGAACGACTATATGCGTACGCTTCCGGTTTGTTCACATGCCTTTCATGTGGACTGTATTGATATATGGCTCAAATCACACGCGAATTGCCCTTTGTGTCGCGCTGGAATATTCCGCCCAGAGTCGCCGTTTACTCCGTTGATGGCAGCAAGGATTCGCCCGAGCTTCGATGACATGCTGTTGGAAAGCACAATTCTAGAGCCTTTGGATGAAATTCAGCCAGAATCCGATACAACGACGGTGTCAGAGATCACACAAGAACCGTCGCCAAGGAGGAACATCCAGTCAGAGGAGAGATTTAACAGACGTGATATTTTGCTAAAACGTTCTTACTCCTTCGGATTCGAGAGGAATTTGGGATCAGAGAGATTAATGCTCGAACCAGCAACAGCTTCACCATGGCGGTACCGCAGAGCAATAGGATCAGGTAGCTTCTGGAGCAAAAGGCCTTCACCTTTCAGCTCTTTAACAAAACCAAGAGTATTCTCCTCCCGCTATTACAGAGGAATGAAATCACCCTTCTTCCGGCGGACCAGAGGTGGATTTTTTCCTTTATCGGAATCAAGCGCGAGATACAGTACCGGCGGAGGTGGAAGTTCGTCAAGAAGAAGCAAATCATTCGCAAGTCCAATGTTCATGAGAACATCGGCGTCGGGTGGTGGTGGTGTATTCTCATCTAGCCGTCTAAGGAGCGGTGATCCAGAAGCCTTACTGTCACCGGACAGGTATCACAGACGGTGAAGATCGATGAACAGGTGATTTTTTGGGAAACGACAACCGTCCGATTGATGATAATTATGGCGGACGGTGACCGAGGAGGCGCGCGGGGGATGGGGTCAGTGACATTAATGGTTGGGGGAGATTTACATTGGGAAGAAGAAGAGGAAATTAATGCGCTGCCTGCTAGCCTGTGGAGGTCATTTAATACAGAGAGAGAGAGGGGCTATTGGTTAAGTGTTGAAATGGTGAGATAAAGAAAAAGCTAATAATGTGTGCATTTATTGGGAAATTTTGACTATTAGTATTATTTTATTTTAGAAGAGTTACTGAGAGAAAGTGTTGGAGCTTATCCCAAAAAAGGTTACTCACGGAATGGACCTAATTAAGCTTACTTTTTGCATTGGATGATGCTAGAGTGTAGTAAGAAAGAGGTACCTGGTCTTTTGATTTGATGCATGATAAATCCAATTCAAGATTTAAGTTGGTAGTACAAAAATAGAATTTTGGTTTATTCATTGTTTTATTGCTAACCCGTTTTCCATCCGTGAGTCAAGGTGTACCAAAATAGTGAATTTTATGGGATCAGAGGTCCTTTTAGATGATAATTTATGTGGTAGGCAAAGTGTAGTAAGAAAATTAAGAGATGACATGTGAAGGTGAGTAAGACACAATAGGAGAATCAAGGTGGTGAAGTCCAATAATATACCCAACATAACAGGTACCATACCAATTCACCGGCTCCGGTGTGTTGATGCTAATAGCTAGTAAACTTAGCTCCGGAGTACAAAGATTGATATATAATTTACCAATGTCCGATTCAGATAAACTTTCTAATTGATTTCTGATTCATCCAGTAATTGCTCAATCACATATGTAACATTGACTTTAAAGATTTATGCTAAAAATATACTCCTTCATTCAACACAAATACTCTCTCCTTATAAATTAAAAGCTGCACTTACTTACTCGTGAAATGTATACATCTACTCATTCATAAGATTATTATTGGTCCGGTGTGTGCTTGTCAATATGTATGTCTCTTGTTTAAACACATTAAACTCTAAATGAAAGATATATTCTATTCTATATTATTATAAGAGGGGTGATAATGAGTACTACCGTAATATTTGGAGTTACGCAGGTGAACATTTGACTAATGATGTTACATTTAGGGCCCGTTTGGCCATAGATTTCCCAAATAATATTTGGGAAAAAATTTGACAAATAGTGTTTGTCCATACAATTTACCATTATTTGGAAAATATCCCAAATTCCTAAATACTAGTTTTTCTAGTATTTGGGCCAAATCTCATTATTTGGAATCTTTTAAAAATTAAAATTTTACACCAAACTTTTATCTTTTACAAAAATACCTTCTATAATAGTTGTGTGCGTTGTATTACATAATTTTTTACGTGAACACCAAAGTAGTGATGAAATATTTCGTGGATATGAAAGTGATGATATGGTTGTTGATGAAAATGATGAACAACCGGCTTAGGGTGACAAAATCATGTGTTTTGTCTACTTCACGATGTATGAAATGATGCTTGTTACACTCACTCCAAACTACCACATTGCTCTAGTGTCATGGACACTACTTGTTATTTGTTGCAACGAAGATCTAATTGACTTGTAATACAAACTTATGGTTTATTTTGATAGTTTTTAAAACTTATGGGTATAAATCATTTTTTTTTTAAATGAAATATATTTGGAAAAATTACTTAAATACACAACACTTCTTTACCTATTCTCAATATTTCCCTACTCTTTTACTAAAATACAAAAATCCCTATTTTTCCCCAATTCAATCTAACCGGATACTTTATTAATTTAAGTATCCGCTCGTTATTAATTAAAGT